CTAAATAACCTCCCTGAATGTTATTTTTTTAATTTCATCATTGCATCAGCTTTAATCAGGGAGGAAATTTTAGTTTCCATATTTTTGTCCGCTGTGTCCTCTATTTCAACCGTGTGTTTATATGTTTTATCATCTCTGAATTTTACCAGATAACAGCTGATTCATCACAATTATTTTTCGAAGTGGACACTGATTCCAAGCTGACAAATCTTCCAACATTTTATCCAATAAAAGTGGTGATGGGAAACCCCCACTGCACCACTCCGGCTCCATTCCAGCGTGCTGCACCTTCCCTCCTCCTTATAATATTGCTTCTTATCGGTGGCCTAATGATGATTTATTGCCAGTACAGGGCACCAAGTGCATTGTGGTGGAGAGATGGTTTGTGCTGCTCAGCAAAGCCCCCGAGGTGAGAGCAGTTAAGCAGCAGAGCTTATAACAGAGAGGTAAGTTAGGAGCTGCAACCACCACCTCCTCCTCCTCCTCCTCCTCCTCCTCCTCTTCCTCCTAAATCTGGACATGAGGGGGAAAAGCTGCATGGTGTTCTTGAACCCGAGCTCTAAAAACTGACATTGTGCTGCTGGAGAACGTGCATGTGTTTTTGATTGGGATTGAGATGCACCAAGAAGACTTCTGGTTGTGTTGATCTAACAGGTCAATATGGAAACTGCAATCCAGCCTGATATTATTAGAAGGAGGCCCTGCTGAGCGACTAGTGGCCGCAGTTGTTTATGTTAAAACTGTGCTCTCCTACAACAATATTTAAAAAAAAAAAAAAACAATAATAATGTGCTTTAAAAAGCTCTAAAAATGGAGGACATGCTGGTGCAAAGGGCCTTATGAAAGCTTTAAGAATTGTTCCACCACTCTCAGTGGAACCTGAATTAGTCTTTCCCCTCTTTAGTTAGGTATGGATTAAACAAACCACATGTAATGTGTTAATTATGAGCTGTAAAGGGCTTTGCAGCGAAAGGATCTCTCTAAAACCAGTTTTTTTGCAGATCAGACATGTTTTTGAAAAAGATCTTGTCTTCTGGACGAGCCAGTGGAACTCTCATGCATGTGAAATCTCATACAGAACATAGGAGGTAATTCTATGTCATTAACTGCTGATTTTCTTCCTGAATGCCAGTTGGTGGTTATTGTTCAGGCAGCTTGTGGGTGGGCAAAGGGAGGTGTTGGTATTATCTTAGGCCGGTAATTTGTGTCTCCAGCTGCTGTCTCCATCTCCCCAGGTGGACATCTTGATTCCTCAGCAGTGCATCTAATTAGGGGGAGAAAAACACGTCCAAGGGAGATGCATTCAGAGGGAGGACGCTAATTTGCCCAACGGAACAGACGCGGAGATAAAAATCAACATTATTGGGGAACTCTGGCTGTTCTGTTTGATCTAGAACGGCCGGCAGATCTCTGTTCATAAAGACTCTGAGACAATGGAACGCTCACCAATGCAACTAATCACTGTTTGGAGTTGGATTGGATGTCAGAACAACTAAACTAAACGAACCGCTGACTCGATTCGGCTCACAGTTACGCCAGAGCTTTCGCAGAGAAAGTAAGACACGTGAAGTCCAAGAGGACCATGTCTGACGGTGGAGATCAGAGGTGAAGGAGGCACCGGGGTGAAAAAAAGGAGACTTTCTAAAGCTGTCTGGTTGTGAGTGACGCATCAGAAAGAAAATAGTTAAAGCAGATGTGGTAGTGAAGAACTTTAGGAAGTACAAGAATGTTGATCATTATGGGTTTAAAGTTTCAGGCGTGCTTTAAAACTCAGCAGCAACAAAGGAAGTCTCCACACATCTGGAGCTAACTACAGATTAATTCTGTTTTATCATTTACAATATTGTTTAGCTAAAATTTGATGCAGTTGAGTCTAAAGGCTGCTGTGTTTATCCTTTTACATTTAGTGAGCAGAACGTCTGTGCTTATCTTTTACATGTGTGCACCATGCCAGAAGATCAGAGAAAGTTTGGATGCAGAAATCCTTCAGCTGTAAATTGTCCGCTTCTTCTGTGCTCCATGTTTTCATTTTTAAAGGGGTGGAACTCTCAAAAAACATTATTTAATTATTTTTTCTTTTTTTTTTTAATTATTATTGTTTCTGATTAGAATTGGTCATTGTGAGGTTTCCATGCAGGTTGAACATGAAAATAGTCTCCTACACAGTGTGGTAGAAGTCAGTGGTAGACTTGCATTGCTGTTGTCTTATCCAAGGCAAGATATCCAAATATCAGGAAATGAAACTCCAAATCTTTCCGTGTTGTGCCACTCTCTGCAACAGCAGCTTTGTTGGTGCTTATCCAAGCGTTTCTGAGCTTTTTTTGCCTCGAGTATGACTTGCAAGGCATTCATTCCTACCAGAGACCACTGCAAGTGTATTGATTAAATGAGTGAAACACACCTTTACACTCCACGATGTGCTCTCAGTGTGATCTGATGCTTAAGCAGGACAGAAACTGGGTGACGTGAAGCAAATTGTAAATAAATGTTTTTACACATTACTATGAGTCCATTTTTACGTGAAAGACTAAAACAGAAATTTTCCAGTTTTCCTAAAGGTAAAATGACATGTACTGTTGATCAGGATGTCTTTATTGGTATTTCAGGAAGTGTGATTCATCTGGAATTCAGATCAGTGATTCCAAATCTAAGTGCATGGTTCTTTTTGTCAGAACGATGGCAGCCTGCCTGTGGGTGAACTGGGAATATCTGGTCCAGGTGGGATTGTCTAGCATTGACATCCATGGCTTATTTGAATATTGGAAAAATAAATGACAGTTGCAGCATAATTCAGTTCAATTCAATTCAAAGGTACTTTGTTAATCCCAGAGGGAAATTGGAGTTTCAGTACACACAATTCTGAGATCAGACATACATGACACATTCCTCATCTCATCTGTGGTCACTGAGTTTTAAACCAAAAGCACAAGATCACAAATCCTTTCAGATAAAATTGTTTTTGGTAAATTTGATCAAAGTTTTCTTATACTGTCAAGAGATCTTTCATTTACTACAGTGGGGATGGATGTGCAAACAATCTAATTTTGGGAAGTGAATAAAATTGTTCTTAAACCCATGTCGTGTTTATTATAGTTTAGTCTCATTTTCAGCTCTGGTTCTGTCTCTTTGTTTTCTTGTTTTACTCCAACAGGAAGCTGTTTTCTGCAAACCTTTAAAAAGCCAGAATGATGCTGCGGCACGGCTCGATTTCACACTGCGAGTGGACATAAATAATCAGGAGGAAAAAATAAATCAAACCATAATGGACCCTGAATGATGGCCAGAAAAACAGATTGTTATTGGTGGAATGTTATGATGGCACAGGCACCAGCAAGAACAGGAAATAAATAAAAACACAAAACCTGATGGAGGACACATGCACTGTACAATATGATTAGTTCCTCTTACTTAGAAAAAACATTCAAACCAATGCACTTAAAATAAGAAGTACACAGAAGTAGGTAATGATGTGTTGGAGCTACTAGTACTTACGTAAAATACACTTAAATACAAGATACTTTAATTAAAACAAACTAGTACAAAGTACTTGGAAATTTGTCTACTGAACTAGTATTTCTGAGTTGTAAATACTTAAGCAGTAGTAAAATGTTAGCAAATCAAGAAATGAAAAGAGTAAAATGATTTGACTATTTAAGATTAAATAATAATGTTTAGTGTTTCACCACTTCTGCTCACCAATCTAAGTAAATAAAAGCATTTTATCTCTGTACCAAACATCTGGAAACTTGTCGAATTCTCGTCAGAGTTCTTTAAAGGTGTGGAACACTGAAAAAATACATTTTTATTTTTGATACATTTTTGATTATAATCAGTCACTCTGAGTTTGTCATGCAGGTTTACCCTTTTACATTTAGTGAGCAGAATGTCTGCGCTTATCTGTGTGCACCACGCCAGAAGATCAGAGAAATTTTGGATGCAAAAGTCTTTCAGCTACAAATTGTCCACTTCTTCTGTGCTCCATGTTTTTTATTTTTAAAGGGGTGGAACTCTTAAAAAACCTTTTCAATTATTATTTTTGATTAAAATTGGTCATTGTGATGTTTCCATGCATGTTGAACAAGAAAATAGTCTCCTACTCCTATCTCCTGCATCAGATTCAGATAGAAAATAGAAAGTGAAAATCTAGAATTTGATAATCCTGACAGATTTACATCAAAACTGTCACTGAACATTCATGGGCTCACGCATCTTGACTCGGAACGAGGAAGGTTATTTATCTTTTAGCGTCCAAAGATCATCAGAGAATGTCCCAACTAGTCGAAGCTAACCGTTAGCATTAGCATCTCCACCACACAGCAGAGCCCACTGCTAAATTTGATTAAACAAGTATTCAACACCTTTAAGTTTGCTTGAAGGTGCGTCCTGATCATAGAAAACATGTTAAAGTTCAGTTTTACACTTGCAAACGCTTACTTGTCTAAATAAATAAACACAAAGAAATCTTTGCAATCTTGTCATCTGAAAGGACACATTTAGATGTCTCCATTCCATGTATCAAAATTTGTGAGGTAATTGTATATTTTCAAATAAATCTTTTATGAGAGGATATTGTGTCAAATTCATAGTGTTATTGTGTTCTTGTGTGATTCAGATATGGATGAAAAACATATTTAAATGCATCAAAATAACAAGCATTATCTATATGCTTTAATTCTGCTGCTCTGTGGACTTTCAGTTAATACACCAGTTAATTTTTTTGTGTAAATAAAATCACACTAACTGTTCCGGTGTTTGTGGTTACGTAAGCTGAAGAGCATGTGGAAGTTACAAGTGATTTCCTTATATTCGATTTGTCACGGTGGCATGATTTGGCTCAATTGTGTTGTCTAATCAGAACCAAACAGCAGGAAATTTAGCAGCTAAACACATGAAAACACACGTGTGTGTGTGTGTGTGTGTGTGTGTGTGTGTGTGTGTGTGTGTGTGTGTGTGTGTGTGTGTGTGAGAGAGAGAGAGACACAGTAAAAACTCACTTAGCATTCTGCCAAAGTTGTCAATATTTAATCTTTAGTTAAGGCAATCCATTACAAAGCATTTCACAAACCACAGTATAATGACAATTTCTGTGTCCAACACCTGGTTTGGAAATTATTCAGCATGCAAGTCAGAGACCAAGAGAGGTATGTAAACAACCTGGGTCAAACAGGAGCAGTGGCAACAAGAAGAACCCATTTATAGAAAATAGAATGAAAAGAAAGCAGAGATGCAGCCTGTTAGAAGAGGCTGTTGTCTCCAAACAGCATCCTATGATACAAACAAAGATGGCGGCCAATGCAGTAATCAGGTGAAATGAAGGTAAATGACCAAACTAACTCCCTGCCACTTTTGGCACAAACATGCACGTTGGCTAAAGAGACTAAAGTTCATCACGTGTTGGTACCGGACATTCTTCACTCAGGGATTATGTACATAATCAGCCTCACAGATTATTTAAAGAGAAGGAACAAACAAGCTCATTTCCACAAAGAAAATTACATTACCAGTAAATAAAGTTGATCTGAATATTTGTTTCATAGTAAATTGTTTTCTAGTTTTCTGAGTTCTAGCAAGCCTCAAGGATGAAAAAAACTAACTCATTAAAATCTCAGAACTGCACATAAAACCTATTTCAAGTAACTTGGTGTCAATAAATACAATAATTTTAGTGAAAAATTGCAACATCTGCTGTTCACATGCTTCTTCTTTTCCCCTCAGACATAGATCACGAGCTGCATTTTGATGCAGATTTAATTAGCTTCACGCTGCTAATTGTACTTCTTCTGAGAAAGAAAGTCTGAGTCATTCGAAACTTTCAGTATAAAACAAAAAATCTGATATTTACTCCTCTATCATTTTATTCTAAGAATCAAATCTAATTCCATGCAGATGTGTGAACATGTAATGAATCTATTATTTGCTTTTGGATTGAATGGCTTTGCGCAGAGGTAATAAGTGAGTGTTACACAACTAAACCAGGGATTTTGGAAGCAGATTAAACTGTGCATTGTCTTCTAATGAAGAAATGTCATTACAAGAAGAAAAAGAAAAGTAAAATAAAGGTCTGGACAAGTGACACAAGGAGTTTGGTGCCTTTTGCAGAATCAACAGACCCTCTCAGCTTTTTGAGAGCACTTACATCTGTGGGAGTTACGTAAAAATATTATAAGACAAAAATCGAATCACATCCTGACAGCACAATCGGTGTAAACTCAGATTCTCCACTGCCGCCCAGTGAAAAGAATTAAATTAAATTAAATTATGTAAAACCAGCACAAAATATACAAACAATACACAAAAATGTTTCTGCTTTGTCCTGGAGGTGACATGTACAGCTGCAGATTAATTGTAAACAAGTCTTGACTTGACATGGTGACTTTCATCAGTCTAAAGATCATCAGTGAAGAGCTGGAAGTATAAAAAGTACACAACAATGATGGAGACAATCCCAATCTGGAAGGGATTAAACATGATCTGTGTGTAAATATTAAATATGAGAACTGCTGCTGCACCTGGCTAACCGAATGTGGATATGTTTTTATACAGTAGGCACATTTGGATCAAGATATCGAGGACTGGGAGAGAGTGAAGGAATGAGTTTTATTTTATACAGTTTCTAAAAGAAGAAACTATAAAAATATTAACAAATAGATTAAATAATTCAGGAAAATGAATAGTGTTGCAGGTTTAAATGGGATGATGTGTAATGAAATAAAACAATGTGTTTGGGAACTTTGAGGTAAATTATTATTATTAAGTTAAGAACTGATAATTTATTACCTAGTCAGTGGTCTCCAGTGTAAATTAATGACTTGTGAGTCGAGCTCTGTGGAATAAAAGCTCTGGCGCTCCTGTTTCAGGCACAAGAAGTTAGCCAGAGCAGAGGGGAGCAGAACAAAGCCGGTTTTGGAGTATTTGTTCCTGATATTTGGAAACCTCTCCTCTGATTGGCTAACAGCATTGCAACTCTTATTCAGTTTACTCTGCAATGTTGATGTTTTATCTCCACAAATAACTCAAGTCTGGAGGGGCTCTGCTGTGTGGTGGAGTTGCTAATGCTAATGGTTAGCTTCTACTACTTGAAACATGCCCTGCTCCTGGGTGCTAAATCAATAACAGCCTTCCCCATCTACTTTCTATCAGAGGCTAATGCGGGAAATAGGGGTAAAAGACTATTTTCACCTTTAGCCTGCAGGTTAAACTCATAGTGAACGATCATATTTCAACAAAAACAAGTAAAAATCTCAGTGACCTTGCTCTTTAAAGATTTGATAATCATTTAGAATACTCCGACTTAGAGAAGTAAAAGAGAATCTCACTTCTAGGCCCCCCAAAAAAATAAAATCATGAATTCATTCTCACCAAACAGCAACACATTCAGTCAACGCAAGTCGTTGGTTTATTATGAGAAGTGCCTTGAGACGACTCTTGTCGTGATTTGACGCTATATAAATAAAATTGAATTGAATTGAATTGGTGTCTGTGTGCTTCTGACTGAGATGAGTGGGAAGGAACCATCTGGAAAACGCAAACATGCTTATCTAATAATAACTGAGAGTAAACATCTTATTTTGAAGGGATCCATTTTATTGGTATTATCTGGAGTTGCAGTTTGCAGACGGTCCCTAAGCACCTGCTGTTTGAAGTGTGTTCATGTCTCAACTTCACCATAAAATGACACAAGTCCTACAGCACACAGACACTCGTTTTGAATAAAAACAGGAGTATCTTATGGTCCTCTCTGGATGAATACAAGCAAAATCTACATTTGATCACTGGTCAATCCAAAAAAGTTAGATTAAGTCAACTGAGATTAGGTGGGCTATGCAAAGAACCATAGTAAGGTTAATTAAAAACGAAAAAGACTCGGTAGACTGAGTAAACAGCTTTGCACTCTCCCAGTAATTGTTTGGTGACTTTATAAAAACACTCTGCGCCCTATAACCTCTCTTTAAAAGACTTCACTCTAAAGAAACAAACAACCTGAAGAAGGGAGAAAAAGTTGAAATTGAGATCAAATTTTCAAAATTAAATGGGAAAATAATTTCCAGGTAACAAAGTGCAAACACACTGAAACATAAAACAGAGTTTACGTTCTTGCACCCCAACACGAAAAGTGGGCGTGTGCTTAAAATCATGACTCTGTAAACATAGCTATATTTAAATAATGCATCTCCTTTTCTTCTCCGATTCTTCCAGTTTCTAATGTTAATAGCCGTGTTAAAAACATAAAATGGGATTCTTTCCACTTTTAATGTTTTTTTTAAATCAAGGGTTTCATCTTATCAACATTGGAACCTTTGTGCTTTTATTTTGACAGTAATTAGTGCATTCTGTTAGTAGAAATATTAGAAATACCTTGTATAAGACATGGCGCTGAAAAAATCTGCATGATAGTACAGCATCTGAGCGAAAATTCTACATGAGTTATAATGATTCTAGATTTTTATCACATGCTCTTATATATTACAGGTAATTTTACCAAAGTAGAAATGGGGGGGGGGGGGGGGGGTTCCTTACACTGCTCACAAAATATTTGATGGAAAACTACAATATATATATATATATATTTACAACTTCAACACCCAACACCGTTAAAAGTCCCCTGAAAGCAATAAGTCATCTCTGCAGTAAATAAATAAATAAATAATTAGTCTCCGTAAGATTTTCTAAACAAACACACGGACTCCAAAAGGGATCACAAACGAGATGCACACTGGCACACCCAAACGTATCTCCACACAGGCCCTTCTCTACGAGTTTATCCATGACAGCAAACATCGAAAACATCCTTTTGGACAACGGCCTTCTCTCAGCGCTCTCACCCTTAAGACTCTGGGATGAAAACACTCGCTGATTATCAACAGGTTCTCCCACAGCGGTCCCTGTACCCCAAACCATCATCTGTTTGTTTCTCTCGGTTATTAAAAAGGACCGCAAAAGCATTTATTTTCTTCTCCATCCAGTTCCTATTCATCTGGACTCCTGCATAGCTGAGCTGCGTCGCGTGGTGGAGGAGGTGGAGGAGTCAGTCAGACCGATTCAGTCTCTGGGGGGGCACATGTCGAGTAAGCAGGAGGAACCGGGTTGGGTTTGATGGCTCTGCTTTTCATGTAGGAAATCAGCTGCTCAGGGATCTCAGCCAGGACGTCTTTAGCCAACCGGGCCATGCTGAGGATGTGGTTGCCCGTGCGGTCCATGTAGTCTCTGAACGGTACAAACTGTTGCAGCATGGGAAAGAAATCAATCAGTACCTTTAAGTGTTATACAAGGATCGGCTCTGCAGCCTCTGAAAATAAAACAAATGTATGATGTAGGGACAGCTGGGTTGGAAAACTAGCTTTAATAATCAAATTTCCCATAATAAAAACTGTTTTCTAGACTTAGATGATAACAACCAGCAGATATCTGACCAAATCTTATAATTAATGTTAAAAATATAATTTATTTTAAACAAACATTATGAGAATTTTTTCAAATTTGCAGGTGGTACAAATCCTAAACTCCTGTAACCGATTTGTAGCTAAATGGTTTTTAATTTGTGATTCCTTCTGAAGATTTTAATTATCTGATTATTTCCAGAAAACAAGAATAATATAGCAAATGAGTTCAGGAAGCATATTTTACGCATGTTTTTTTCCTTAAATGCATTTAAAAAGATAATTATTCATTATACTAAATAAATATGCACAATTCCCTTACATTTTTTCACCTTTTATATGATCATTTGAACAGAAAATGAGTTTTACAACATAGATTGACCCTTTCAGTCTGCTTTCAATAACAAATGAGCTCTATGTGCACTCTAAAAATAAAATGTTGAATTTACTTCATCCAGTTTTGTCAACTGGTTCCAACTAAACCATGTAGCTTGTATATGAAAAGTAATAGGTGTTATGCTAAAAGTAAATAAATAATACTCTTTACACTTAAATAATTAGGTTTAATGGAACAGCTTCATTTCTTAGAGTAAAAAAATCTGAAAAACCTCTGGATTTAATTCACTGAGATTGAGGGGAAAATGAAAAAAAAGCTGAATTTGGAAGTCAAAACAACAAAACTTTAAATATTAACTTCTCCAAATATGTACCTTTTATTGTTAAGCTGTCTTTTTTTCACCCAAACTGTAACATTTTCTTTTAGACATAAAACAATAAAATAAAACTCTAAAACACTGTGTTAAAAATAACTAGCTGAGCAGTTAGAAACCTCTTATGTCATAAAAAACTAATGAAATTTACATTTTTACCCTCACAATTTCATCATTAAATTTACATCTAGGTGATCGAAATATTTTCTCTATGTAAACTCTGAGTCACATTCAGTTCACTATTTTATGCTGTTTGAGCTAAAGCTGAAGGAATCCATTTCTTTTGACTCTTATGTCTATTATAGGCTGTCAAGAACCAGGGACGGGTGTAGAAATACTTCACAGAAAGGGAAAAAATGACACTTTCCTTTCTTTGAGCCTTTAGGAAATGTTAAATGTAATTTGACACCGGAGTAAGATGTTAGAAATCTTTTACCTGAACGATGTCTCTCTCTGCCAACTTTCCCCTGGAGGAGATTCTGACGTCGTCACCATCGAGTTCAACCATAGCTACAAGGAGAAAATGTCTTACTGGCAGATCATTTCAACGATGCATGTGTTCATTTAAGACTCTATGCAAGCCAAATATACTGTAATAATAAGAAACGGACAACTTGATGCATCTTTGCGAGTTTCTCACCATCAAACTCAGCTTGGCCGACTCCAACTATAATGATGGACATGGGAAGTTTGGCTGCCTGTAATAAAAAAATAATCACCAATGAGTCAGAACATGGAGGGGTTACGTTTCTAAAAGTGTGCCTGTAAACTCTAACCTCCAACCACTTTCTCCCCAGGAATAAAATAAGATTGAGATAATTATGCATGAAAGGAAACCAGTTCCTTGACTGTCTCACATCTCATTATGCTGCACAGTTTGTGTTGTCCCGGGCGTTAAGATAAACACAAGAGGCATTATTCAGCTCAGGTTGGCACTGATCCTACCTATAACTGATTATTTTAACTAACCACCACTCATATTGTCTGTTTTGCACCACACTGCCAGTGTGGCTAGTTCTGTTTACAGCTGCAGACGCCTGTTATATTCAAGACATGCCAAACAGAGCTCATTATGTCTGTCAGTATCTGCACTTAGCCGCCGTCTCTTATCTGGAGCAGTCCAACTCTGTGGTACCAGATTGTGTATGGTGCACCATTAGTGAGCCGTGATTGTTTTGGCAGAGCAAACAACGGGAAGAGGCGGCTGCATCAGCCGCAAAAATGGTTGAAAAGTTTTTAAAAAGGTTTTTAGGGAACGTTTAACAAAAACACAACATTTTCAGACAAGGGGTTTTATTTTAAAGCTTGATATGATGCTGAAAATGATTTGAAGCGCGACATCTGCAGTGAATGTGACACCTGTGAGTACAATTCCACCTTTTATAAACCATCAGTGTATCAGTCACCAGTGCAAAAACAAGTCTTTCTCATACCTCCATCATCAAAAAAACACATCTGAGGTAAAAGATGACCCCACAAAAAAATAACCCTCAGCTGACTGATGTGGTGAATCTGGTAGCAGCAGACATCATCCAGATGGAAACTGCACATAACCTTTAATGTGTGCATGTTAAAAAAAATATTCAGAATAGTGTCAAAAATGTGTCAGTTTGTGTTTCTTTATTTGAGGGAAATGTGTGGGCGTCTGGCTGGCCCTGAACAAATTTAAATGTGCTCTGTAGTTGTGGGTTATTTTGCATGGAAATCATCAGCAGCAGCACTTCCTGTGCAGTCTCTTCCACCAGGAATGTGTTCATGTTTCTGCTAGAAAAAACAAATGACACTAGCATTTGCTTGAACTGTCATGACATTTTTGAAACTGGCGTTTTGTTAAGATTCAGACTCACACTAGCCAGTAACTCCTCAGTCTGGTCAGAATTAATGTTGTTTTTTAAAACTGAGCTGAAATGAGAGGGCTCCGGCTTGAATGAAAGGCATGTTTGGGGTAGAAATGCTTTTACAGGGTAAGAAGTAGGTCAGCTTTCCTAGAAAATAACCTTCAGGGAGCGGCCTGTCACAGATAGGAGTAAATAGACGTTAGAGGACCACCCCCTTCATGCTCTTTATCAGTTTCGCCTCTCCATCTCTTCTTTCCCATTTTATCCTTTCCTCCATTCGACTTGCTCCTTACAATCCCTTCCTCCAGCTCAGAAAAAGATTCACATTCAATTTGCCCCCTTTCCAGCGGACCTGCGAGTGCATGCAGTACCTATAAATGCCAGATCAAATTCTGCTTTCAGAGCTGAATTATTCACTCTACACCATTTGTTACTTTCCCTGTACTGTAAAGTCACTCTGGGGATCTCACTCATTCAATTTGTCTGGATCCAGACTCGCCGCTCTCACAACACAACTCTGTTCTGGTTCTGATATCAAACATTTCAGTCAAAACAGACGGATTATTTAGTGGCTGACCCACAGACCAGAGACAAGAACAGCTATGTGTAACTTAACTCCTGTAATACAGCACAAGTCGTATTTTTTATGCTAAAAATGAGAAACATTTCACCGCTCATCAATCTGATGCTGACAAGGATGAAAAAGGTGCCACATCACCCCGCTTCTCCTCCAGCTTCATTGGCTGCCAGTCAACTTCAGGGTTCATTTCAAGATCCTGGTTCTGGTCTATAGGGCCTTACATGGACAAGCACCATCTTACATTGGTGATCTTCTTAGTCCCTACACCCCCAGCAGGTCCCTGAGGTCCAGTGATCAAAGCCTACTGGTTGTGCAGCACCAGGCTAAAGACCAAAGGTGACAGATCATGTGTTGCTGTGGCCCCCAGACGCTGGAACTCTCTCCCCCTGAGCCTGAGATCAGTGGACTCAGTGGTCTCCTTTAAAAAGCAGCTGAAGACTCACCTCTTCAAGCTGGATTTTGCATGACCTTCTTCACCACTCTCTCTTTATTCTGCTCCCCCCACCTATTCCACCTTCCTCAGGATCCACTGATTTCCCTCTTTCCTATTCACTCTCTCTCTTTCTTTACATTTTTTAATCTCAATTGTCTATTTTTGCTCATTTTAAATATATTTTTAACCATTTTCTAAATTCTTTTTAGATTTTTACATTTTTTGTTTTTGTGAAGCGCCTCGTGATTTTTATCTTGAGAGGCGCTATAGAAATTATATTTTCTTCTTCTTCTTCTTCTTCTTCTTCTTCTTCTTCTTCTTCTTCTTCTTCTTCTTCTTATATTGAGGAAAACTGTTATTTTTATTTATTTGAAAGGAAAAATGTTTAAAGTGACAACGCCTAATAATATAAAGCTTTTGGGATATTTTGTTCAATTCAGTCTTTTTCCTTTTCTTTTTTTATCTTAACTCCAATACTTCAATTTTGCTCCTGGTAGAAAACAAAGATATGAATAAAAAAATCAATCTAAATAAAAATAGTCACAATAAAGCACTTGGAGATTTAATTAAGATCTCGCAGCTGTTTTTGATTTATAAAATAAATTTATTTATCCATTTATTCATTGATTGTTTTTGAATATTTTACACAACAACCCTTTAACCGGCTGGCAACCATGTGGTAGAACACATTCGTCCCTATATCTTATATAAAAAAGGACTGAAAACAGAAATCTAGAAAATAAAAATCCTTACTATTTAATTTTTTTATTTGCATCATAATATTACTATAGTTTTGTGTGATTTATACCATATCATATGCACATTTACTATCCAAATAGAACAAAAACTATTTTTTTTTTCAGTATTTTTGTGTGGAAGTTAAAGGGTTAACCGCTCAATATGGGATGCACTTGTGTTTATTACATTTTGAACTATGTTTGTTGTTTTACTAATCTAAAAGGTTAAACTATCGTGAGAGTTGCTGGGTCAGTTAGCAACAACAAGTTTAGCAAAAATGAACATTTATTTTTCATTATAAGTGTTCTAAATTAATATTTATAGGTTGAAATCAAGCACCCCCAAAATGGAGCTCTAAAATTGAGTCAAACCCGGAAGTACCAAAAATTGCAGTTCCACCCTCATCCGTTGGGGGCTGGTGTCAGAAGCGAGCAAATCCTCATTGACTCCCATTTTAAAAATACCAATTTCACAGCAGAAATAAACATGTTTACAGCCTGGTACCAAAACACGTTTTTTGTTTAAATTATCTAGTTTACACTCATGACAACTCTGAGAGGGGTGAATTTTTTTCCTCACTCTTCTGTTTAAGTGTATTAAAAGCCTAAAATTCTGTAAAATGAATGAGCATCCGACCCACGTGACCACAAAGCTAGCTCCGTGGAAAGGCCTCAGTAGAGCCTCGGTCTGGCTTGGAAACTGCTCTGGCATTTTGAGTCTCTGTGTTTGTGTCACGCTGCCTTCCTCTCAGCCCTCGACATCCTCCCCCGGAGGAACCCACACTCATAGAGCCCGGTCCAACTCCACTACCCAGCATTCCCAGCGCCAGCCTTCCGGCTCACGTCACCCGACACGTCTACATAAGGAAGTACAGCACAACACTAGATCACTCTGTCATCGATCCAGACTATGTTCCGAGTCCTCACCGAATCCTACCGGATTACTCCAACCAGTTCTGACCAGACCAGCCCAAGCTACTCACCCTGCTGACTCATAGTAAGTCAGCTTGTTTCCTTTTGGAGTCGCCGTGCTCACTAGCCTGTTACGGTTTGGCTCCTAGAGCAAACACATGTCTATCTGCCCGGCGTCAGTCACTCCGCGCTTGGGTCATAAATACATGCTACAATCCAAACTCTCGCTGCGGTCCCGCTCCGCTCAAGTCAGGCCTAACAGTTTGTGTATTCTTTTTTTGGATATTTTCAGTGCAATTGTTGAACAAAATGACTTGCTGTGGCATGAATTGCACTAATAGAGCGTCCAAGGAGTCTCCACTTCATTTTTTTCGGTAAGTAAAATTATATTTATGTATTTTAGGTCACTGCCGAGCTGAGCTTAGATTTTAACATGTACTGTTTAACCATGAAATTTAAATGTAATAGGGTAAAACCCAGTGCATTTAACATAATGCTGCACTTTAGAAAATGGGTTGAAATATAACATGTTTGTGGAGCTGGGTTCCGACTATCGGCTTGTGGAGCTCTCGGGAGACCGATGTTTTCCACCCGTTTCTCCCCTGGCTTTGCGGCTTCTGTTTGCTGCGCGGAATGCCGGCTGTTTCTCCCTGCAGCTCGGCGCATCTCTGTCTGATCGCGGCTTCTGTTTGATGCGCCGGGCTGCCGGCTTGTGGAGCTCTGGGTTGGAAACCTTTCCACCTGGTTCTCCCCAGCGGCAGCTCTGCGCATCTCAGATCGCAGCGGTGCTTGTCTGCTGTGCGGCTGCCAGCTTATGGAGGTGTCGGAGACCTCTGTGTTCCACCCGGTTTAACCCAGCGGTTAGCCCGGCGTATCTCTGACTCAGAAGCTCTGGTGTTGTGCACAGTTAACTCCGGTTGTAGCTAGGTTGCTACCTCCGTTAGCTTAGCTCCCACCTCCGCGTTAGCTTTGGGTTAGCCAGGGTTAGCTTCAGGTTAGCTTATAGCTAGTTCGTCAGTTGATCCCAGCCTTACAGCCCCACCCTCAGCTCCTCCTCTCTTCCCTTTTGTGGAATTGTCTGGGCTTGACGGAACCTGTGACACGGTCAAAATGGCGGTGGTGGCCACCTCCCAATTGGTCTCAAAAACGTGATATTGGAGCCTATGGAAAGGAGATGCCCAGTATATTCATGTTGATGGTTGAAATCCAGGAAATGCTGCAACAAATTGAAAGATAAGTGGTTGAAAATGCTGTTTTACAAGAAAATAATTTGATAAAACAAAGATTTATTGCTGTTGAAGTGACCGTGTGTATTTTCCCTGCTGATAGGGGGCAGTGTATACCTAAATCATTGCAAGCAAGCAATGTTTTTGTGTTCGAGTAGGATCTTACCAACGGATGGCCATTAAGGTCAAAAATCCCTGGGAGCGCAATTTTCAAATAAGTACATCGTCAGATCGTTCAACCTCCAGCAAAATGACAAGCACACCAGACTCCCTTTCATCATTGGCAATAAGTGAAGAGATAAATGTGTAAAATAACAACGTTTTTGGAGAAAGTTTTGTAACCGTTCGGTACAAATCAGTAAATGTATTTTGTCCTCACGGGCTTCCATAGAAAAATGATGTCTAATATAGCGTTGCCCAGAGACTTATATCCGCTCCCATGTATTTTAGACCCGATTTTTATAGTCATATGTTATGAAGCCGCCAATATTTATCAACAACTAGGCATAATTTAATTCATTTTCAACAACAATTTTGTGGATATTTTCAGAGATTAATGGTGAAAACTGCACATTGTCCTTTTAATACAGCAATCTGGAGTTTTCCACCTTTCAGGAATTATGTATAATTTTTTAATAATCTGTGAAAGTGATACTCATACCCTGATAAAATGGAGACACTATGCCTGTCCCTGTCCCGTACATCGCTATGCTATATGGATTGAGCACTGCTCAGCATTAACCAATAGCATTAGGGACCCGTTTAGGCACATATGTCAGAGTGTTCACGTACATTTGAGGACGTATCTAGACCGATGCAGAGTTGGTGACCTTTCTAATGGACAAGTATGCCTTTAAAATACATTTATATTTAAATAAACAGCATAACATGAACATAATACTGCAAAACAACCTGTTGTAGCTCTGTTGGCTTGTTAGAGGTGTGCGTTCACCAATGAGAGGCATTGCTTCTAGCTGTAATCACGGAAATAGAGGGGCTTAAGGTGCAATACATTTTTCTGCCTTCTGCTTTAAACCAGTAATTAAACTACAATTGCTACATCAGTTTAATGCAATCTTCAGCAACAATGTTAAAGTAGAACAGCGGAAACCTGCAGACATGAGTGTTGCATGGAACCTGATTTCTATTTTGTCTCTGCAGAGTAAAGGTTGAATGTCATGTGGAAAAGGTGCATCCAGGCTTTAGCTCTAAAGGCAGAAATCCTGGTCCCCAGTGGCAGCAGAGCAGCAGACAAGATCTTAAAAGGAAGGTGTGGCTGTTCGAATGGTTTGATTAACAGTCGCAAATTCCCTTTAAACCCAGTCTGCTGGGGGTCAGAGCGCTGTCGCTGTGAGGGTTTACCTGGATGATGATGACTCACCAAACACACACATAAAAAGCGCTGCAGCCTTTTCAAGATACAATGACACCGCATGCCAAACAGGCAAAAACAGACAAAAGGTTGGAGAAACATCAGGTGATCCATTTGAAGCATAAATAAGATCCAGCATCACCACGTTACATGTAAACAAAGATGTTTTTACAGAAATGCCAACATCATCCAGCTGCACTCACGTTCACGATGGCCTCCTTGGTCTGAGCCATGTCTGAGATGACTCCATCCGTGATGATGAGCAGGACGAAGTACTGAGATCCATCCTGAACAGCTTCTGCATACCTGAGCCAAAACAAATCAATAATCACAGCCGCCTCATTCAGAAAACACTGATGTAACTTTGTGGCTCCACATAGAAGATTTAGCCTGGCATAAACCAGATGGGTTCCAATAAAAGAAATTAAAATATTTTTAAAAACATGTTCTTTCCTTCCTCAGTGAGTGACAGAAAAGAGTCATAAAAACATGTCAAAAAATATTCTAACATGCTGTAGCTCTTCACATCTGAGAGGTCTTTCCAGACGCCATTACAAAAACCATCAGAGACACCACAGAGAGCGTGTCCTAGTTTCAATTGCCCATCGCGGGCTGCTCCATGAATAATGTATTAAACTGTTTATGCAAGTGCAGCAGTCTTATTCTCTCAGAACATTATTGATCGCCAAGCACTCATAAGAGCAGACTCGATGAGAAACAAAAGAAGAGAACAACACAACGGATTATCGCCAGAGCCAAGGACAGGTCAGAGGTGAGACATCGGCTCTCACACCCGTTTGATAAATTTGACTGCAACAGGCTGACATTTTAATCACAGGGCACGCACGTCAGCGACAGCAGAAAGAGCTATGAACAGTGTTTAGAGATTAAAGACACATTATTCCTCCTCAGCGGCTTCACAATAAGATGAGCGATGGTCTGTGGAGACGTTTAGATTACAAGGAGTAAGTGAAGCACCAAAGTCATGTCTGTATAATCTATTTTTGCACAAATCACAGCAGAAAATGAGCAAATTAAGGGTATTTCTCATTTATCATCCTGCTTTATATGTGGACAACAACATGCATCATGCATAAACATCTAGCTAACCTTTAACATGCTTTATTGGTTCGCTCACAGCAGCTAACCTGAGAGAATATCAGCTTCCAGCTCATCTCACCATCATGGTCAAGTCTTATTCTAATCCTTTCATAACTGGATTTAGGGGGAGCTTTCTCACTTGTTTGTTTGGATTTTTTTTTGTTTTGTTTTGTTTTTTTGCATCTCTTGAGATTTGTTCCACTTTTGTAAAAAAAAAAAAAAACCTCATAATTATAATAATGGAAGAATAAAATGGTTTTATTCCACCCGTGGCTATACTGAACATATTAGGCATAAAGGCTGCAAAAAAACTCCATAAATATTTTCTATTGCTCCAAACCAACACTGTTTACAAGCATGACGTGACATTTTATTACACATAAAATCCTTCTGAGACTTTTTCTTGCTTGCGTTTTTATGCTTGAAATAAATTAACAAGTCCTTCAGGGTCGTTTGTGTTTGTAGGGTTTCTGGTGGACAACATGTTTGAATTTATTAAAATTTTGCTTTTAGTTGTCTCAGAATCAAAGTTTAGAAGTTTAGATCAATTTTTTTTTTCAAATTTATGATAATGCTAAGAAATAGTCACATTTAAATCCAAATGTACTTTGTAAAATAGTGTTTTTACAAAGTACTTTAAAGTTTAACATAAATTATGTGAAGGAATGGATGCAGGCAAGTAAAACATCCAAAGCATAAAAGGTATTTTTCAAAGTTACTGATAAACTAGATTTAGTTTAGGCGTCATTCTTCTACAAAGTTAAAGTCACCTGATTAGATAGAAACACAGACTATTATAATTCATATTACACAGGTTATTGCTTCATAAGTACTAACTCTGGATGCATGTTGGCTAAAAATAATATTCAAATGTTTCACAGAATGGTCATCTTTAACAACCACATGTTTAAAGGTGTGGAACACTGAGAAAACTTTTTTATGAATTTTTTGATTATAATCAGTCACTGTGAGTGTTTCATGCTGGCTGAACATGAAAATAGTCTCCTACACCTACCTCCTGCGTTAGCTTCTGATAGAAAATAGATGGTGAAACTCCAAGATTTGAAAATTCTGACAGATCTACGTTACACTGTCACTTAATATTTATTGACTCACCCCCCTTGACTCACGACGGGGAAGACTGTTGGTGGTTTAAAGTCCAGGAAACCGCAGACAACGTTCCGACCAGTATAGCTAACTGTTAGCAACTTCACCACATAAATATCAGGTCACTCATAAAAAAGTCATTTTTAGTCAATGAGCTTATCTCTGCATATAAACTGGATTTATTTGTTTTAACCGAAACTTGGCTTGATTCAGTTAATTACAACACTATCCTAATTGAGTCTTCTCCCCCTGACTATAGCTTCATGAGTGTCAACTGTGAAAATAGATGTGGGGGAGGAATAGCTCAAATCTTCAAAGCCTCTCCAGTGCAAACAGTTATCCTATGGAGATTATGCTTCTTTTGAATATATTTGTGCTGTCCTTCAAAGTTGTCCAAAAGCACAGCTGCTAACTGTTTATAGACCTCCTAATCAACCAGTCGTAGTTTTCCTTGAAGAATTCTGTGATTTGCTTTCTGGAATCTGTGTTTACTTTGACAACATTATTTTATCAGGTGACTATAACATTCATGTTGATAATCCTGAAACCCCTCATACAAGAGATTTTCTGGCTCTGACTGACACCTTCAATCTGACCCAACATATACAGGGCCCCACTCACTCTCAGGGCCACACACTCGATCTTGTCATCACAAAGGGTGTCACTGCCTCTACATCTGTTGTGGACTTAGCCTTATCCGACCACTGTTGTATCTTTATTGACGTCTGCTTGTTTCCCTATCGCCAGAATAACTTTGTGATGATCAAAAAATGAGCCATAAATGAGGAAACGTATGTTCTCTTTGAGCAGGCACTCGTCAAATCTGCTAGCCCAGTCCCAAAGACCGCTGATCATTTGCTGGAAATGTTTAACTAAAGTATGGCAAAAATAATGGATGACATTGCTCCTGTTAAATTGAAAAAATCCTCTGGCAAATAGAAGGCTCAATGGAGAAATGTCTCATCAGTTAAATCACTGTTTAACCGCAGTTAAATCGCAGAAGAAAGAATGTAGGAGAACAGAAAGGAAACGGCGCGAATCCAAACTTGACTCAAACTATCTGACCCATAAAGAAGCACTTTGCAAATACAACTCTGTAATTTCTAAAGCAAGACAATCTTATTTCTCCACCATTATAAACAAAAAAGCAAATAACACTCGTGCCCCATTCTCCATTATTGAGAAGCTAACAAATCCCTCTTCTCAGCTGGCTCCTGGGTTACTCTCAGTTAATAAGTGCAATGAATTTGCCTCTTTCTTTAAGAGCAAAGTAGAGGACGTAAGATCTCATATTTCATCTAAGTTGCTTAACATTTCTCACTCTGAACCACAAACTAGTTTGAGAGATGAGCTTAGAATGCTGTCTAATTATAGCCCTGTTGACCTTGTCACTTTGGAAAAGGCTGTACATAGTCTAAGTTCCTCTACATCGAGCTGGACATTTTGCCCCCTAGTTTTTTTAAATCTGTGTTTCACCTTATAGCATCTGATGTGCTTTCAATTGCTAACACCTCTCTGCTGACCGGCACTTTCCCCAAATCCCTTAAAATGGCTGTTGTAAAGCCTTTACTTAAAAAGAACAACCTGGATGTTTCTGTCTTTATCAACTACAGACCAATATCAAATCTACCTTTCATCGGAAAAATAAATGAAAAAAATTGTTTTTAACCAACTGTCTGCTTTCTTAAAGGGGCATTATGGAAGTTTGACAGCCAAAACATGTATAGAAATAATAAATTTCTTCTTCATACATTCTCCTGCAACGCCCTGGTCCTGTAGAATGAGCCCTGGTATTTTTACTGTGATTGCCTGTTTTTCTGTAAAATCACAGAAAAAGAGAGCTGCTCGGGTCGAGCAGGCTGCTTCATGCACGTTCACGCTCAGGCATAGCCCTCCGAACCATTCTTTGAACGTTGTTTCAGCTGTCATCAAGGATATAAATGTTACAGATGAAAAGGACATCACTGGCGCTTTAGCTCGCCTAGTAAAGTGTCGGACTTTCGTGAGGAAGACCTGGATTCGATTCTGGATGTGAACATAGTTTTTTTTTAGATTTTCTTTTTTACATTAATGGTATATTTTTTACAGTAAGATGCCCAAATTTTTATTTGAGACTCGCCGAACGGCATTGAATTCACAGATAAAAAAGATGTGGGTTCAACTTTCATTTTGGAACAATTTTTCAAGCAAGGGAATGGAGTGATCTGAGCATGCAGGACGACTGACCGATCTTAAACCTTTGTCGGCTGTGCTGAAGAGAAAGGTACAGAACCAAATTATTTAATTAATTAGCTACACGTTCTCCTGCCCTCTGTCCTCCGGGCCACACACACACACACACACACACACACACACACACACACACACACACACACACACACACACAAGGGACTGTCTCAGCTGTTATTTTCGTTAAGGAGTGTGCACGTACAGCATGCGCGCCTCATGCATGAGCCTACTATTGAAGCTGCCGTTATGCTTTTGGCCTGAGGGGGCAATCGCGAGCATAAAAAATTCAAAACTCCGTAAAGTCCCTTTAACTTCAACTTCCTGTCTTGATCTCTACCAGTCAGGCTAAAGACAACACCATAGTACTGAAACTGGCCTGGTGAAAGTAGTAAACGACATTTGATTAAATAGTGATGCTGGGAAGACAACTGTTCTCATGGTCTTGGATCTCAGTGCAGCGTACGATACTGTTGACTACAGCATACTAATAGAAAGACTTGAATGCTGTGGATAGGGCTGTAGCGAAGCCTCGACGAAGTCGACGGCTCGATTCTAAAAATTTGTCGACGTCAGATCCGGAAGTCGACGCACCGCGCCCACTTGTTGCATCCCCAGGAGTTTGTAAATAGAGGAGGAATCTGCCTGTTTTTCCTCTAGTTCGCCCTCTTCTCCGCCTTCACTAACATCTCCGCCAAATACCGAAGACCCGGAACAACGTCCGTCCACTACTAGATTATTTTCCTGTTTTGCCCCTTCGTCTCCCGGCAACGGACAACAACTTCCGGGGTCAGATGCGCTGCTTCGTGTCTACCGCAGATGTAGAAAATCACCGGGAGCGCTTCTCCCTTCATTAAGGAGCTTCTTTCAGACATGAGGAGAGCTGTTTTGGTGGTAGCAGTCTCTCCTCCATGCTGGTCTGTTTGCTGCCGGGTGTTTTTGGTTTATTTAAACTTGGTAACTTGAACTTAATGTTGGTAAAGCTACTGTTAGCATCTTCGCTAACAGCTTCTTGCGTTGGGATAAGCTGTTACGTTTTGGTTTAGAGTTCATCTTTTTTGTGGTGTAGATCTCCCTTTCATTACATTTAGAGTGTTGTGGGTTTTCGGTTTAGTGTAAAATATCACCTGAGTTTGGTTTAACCCGTTAGACCACTCGCCTCACGCACATAAGTGACCAAAACAAAGCAGCATGGAGACACTCCATCTTCTACCACCTCTCAGGCAGCAGCCTGCACTCCCAAGTTCTACATGTCACCAGAACATAACCAACCAACACAATAAAAGCAGTGTTATACAAAATGGAAGGCCTGTAGTGTTTATTCTCTTACAGTAAGAATTTATCAATTTTTTGAGGAATTTATTTGAGATTTTCTGGTTTTTGTTAATTGTGCAATAGAAAAATAATCATTAGATTAATTTTCTAAATAGTCATTAGAATAGTCGACTATTCGATAAAATAATCGTCAGAATAATCGTTTTAAAAATAATCGTTTACCCCCAGCCCTAGCTGTGGAGGTCTTTCTGGCTAGGTCATCTGCTGGCTAAAGTCCTATTTAGAGCATAGGAGTTTCTATGTGTCTATCGGTTATCATGCCTCAGCTCCTACATCCCTAACATGTGGTGTCCCTCAGGGTTCAATCCTTGGCCCTCTTTTGTTTAATCTGTATATGCTTCCACTCAGCCAAATCATAAAAAAACACTTTATTGGTTATCATAGTTATGCAGATGGCACACAGTTATATCTATCCCTGTCTTCCAATAACTTTGCTCCTCTTGAATCCCTCTATCATTGCCTCAATAAAGTTCCAGACTGGATGTCAAAAAATCTTCTTAAACTTAATAGAGACAAAACTGAAGTAATTATTTTTGGGAGGAAAGACCAGAGACTGAAGACCGCCACACTGTTGAGATTGAAAGGCTTTGAAGTAGCAGAAACCGTAAGGAACCTTGGGGCCATTATTGATAGCGACTTAAGCTTCACCAGCTACATGAAGGCAGTCACGAAGTGAGCTTTTTATCATTTAAAAAACATTGCAAAGGTTAAAAACTTCATATCACCTGTAGACCTAGAAAAGCTTGTTCATGCTTTCATCACAAGCAGGGTGGATTACTGCAACGGTCTTTTCACTGGTCTCCCTACAAAAATAATAACCTCTTGAAATGATCCAAAATGCAGTAGCAAGGCTACTGACCAGAACCAAAAGAAATGATCACATCACACCAATCCTAAAATCTTTACATTGGCTACCAGTAACTTGCAGGATTGATTTTAAAGTCCTTTTACTTGCTTTTAAATCATTAAATGGCCAAGCACCCCTCTATATGGCAGAGATGTTTGAAAAGTATTGCCCTTCAAAATCACTTAGGGAGGCAGAAAAAAAAACAACTGGTACAACCCAGAGCCCACACCAAGCACGGAGAGTCTGCCTTTAGCTGCTATGTGGTCCGTCTCTGGAACCGTTTTCCAATAGACATTAAGACCTCTCTCACCATTTCCATTTTTAAATCCAGATTAAAAACCAACTTTTTTATGATGCCTTCCATTAACCTATCTGTGTTCTACTAGGTTTTTATCTATGTTGTTAAATTTATTCTATATGTGTTTGGTATGTATGTGCTGCTTTATTGTTGTTTTATAATTTTTAGTGACATTTTTACTGAATATGCTTTTATTTTTGTGTGCTATGTTCCGTATCTATATTCTTTGATTTTGTTATGCATAACATGATGTGAAATTTAAATCTGTGATTATTTTAACTATGTGAAGCACATTGGGCCACCGTTTTGTGGGCTATATAATAAACTTGACCATGACTATGACATGGCAGAGGCTACTCCAGGCTTGTGCTATTTGTGGAGATAAAACATCCATGTTGCAAGTCAGTGGTAGAGTCGCGTTGCTGTTAGCCAATCCAAGGTGATGTCTACATATCAGGAAATAAGGCTCCAAAACCTGCCGTCTGAAGCTCAGCAGTGATGTGGGTGACTACTAGATTGTGATACAGGCGCACCGGTATCCCCATTCTCCCCCGAGAACAACTTACAAGACATTCATTCCTAATAGAAAAGAGTGAACCACACCTTTAAATACAACCTTCCTGTGCTGAGACTCTGTGACATTTGTGCTGTAATAGCATTTTTAAAGGGGCAGTGTGTAGTTGTTACCTTTAATCTCTGGAAATATACATCAAAATGTTGTTGAAAATGATTAAAATGGTGTCCAGTCATTTAAAAATATTGGTGTACCATATAACGATAAAAATACATAGGGTGCGGGTCTGTCTTTGAGGGACGTCATATTAGACGCCATGTTTCCTTCTGGCTGGCTCGGGGTCCTGCGCCTATTGATGATGTCACATTAGATGATTGGCTGTATACGACTTTACAATGTTACCACGTTTGAAAATATGCAGGCATTAAGAAACACACATTTAATACATTTAAAACCTATATAAATATAAAAACTTTTTCCAAAATCTATGTGAAAGAACAGAATAGAAAAAAAAAGATGCAATATATTTTGTGCCAGTGGAATTGCCTTAATATGATGACGTCATCGGCAGGCGCAGGACCCCGAGCAGGTCCAGAAACTAGAGCGCCAGAAAACTACAATCAGCATTGCGTTCTCTCAATGGAATTAACTGAAGTACCATCAAAGTCTCAGGAGTCATGTCGAGGTTGCTTTCTGCTCCACAGGTAATAACATTTATTGTAATGTATTTTTTAAGTAGCAACAGTCACGGCAATATGTAGTATAACTACCCTGAAATGTATGTACTGCCCCCTAGTGCCAGGAAACTACACACTGCCATTTTAAGCATGCTTTCACATTGAAAATGTACTGAACATTGTGACTCATCATCACTGTATGAAAAGCAACATGACATAAAATAAGCCTCCTGGAGTTCGTCCCACCTTGCATTCACACTTTCATCACTTCAGATGTCTATAAATACAGCAGTTAGTTCTCTAAAGATGTCTGGCCTCCCTTATTCCTGATTACCATTTCTTTTCATCTCAGCCTGGCAGCTGAATGTTTGTTTTTTCATCATTAGTTCTGCTCAGAGAAACCACCACTTATTGATGTAATACCTCAGATTGTGTGGCTACCTCAGGAAGTTACACACGTCTAGGTAGAGATTAGTGATCGCACCTCGCCACATGATTGACAACAGGAGCAAAGTTGGTGGGTCCATAAAGCTGAACCGTCTTAAGGCTTTGGTGGTAAGCTTCAAGGATCCCCTCTATACCATTACAGTATGGGTTCTCGACGTTGCCATTCTGGAAGGAACAAGACAAGTGGATTACTGGGATGAAATACATGGATGGGAATCAGAACTGACACAGTTTATTGAATTTGTTTATTGTTTTTTCATAACGTGGTCCAACTTTCAGCTTAAACATGAGCAATCTGCAACTGGTGGAAGCTACATTCATGTCTCTGGAGTAATTTGTCCAAGTCTTCGTCCACCTTAAATGGATCAGGAATCACTGTCCATCTGGAACTTGTCTCTTCAGTCTGAAATCATCAGAGTCGTTTTTCCTGGGTTCTCTTATTTAACTGATTTGGTTCCCCTGTTGACCCCATTCAGGAAACCTATCACAACCTGCCTCACAATTCTGCCCCAACAACCAATCAAGGATATAAAAAAAAGCTGAGTGTGGTGGCTTCAAATAGCTGAATTCACTCTAATAAAAAATATGCTGAATTTACTTAACTAAGTTATATCAACTGGTTCCACTAACCCTACTGAATTAAAGTGACAGTGTGTATTTTCCTTGCCGATAGGGGGCATTTATACATATCTAAATCACTGCAAGTAAGTTGTATTTTTGTGTCTGAGTAAGACCTTACCAAAGGATGGCCATTAGGGTCAAAAATACCTAAGAGTGCAACCTCCAGCAAAATGACGAGAACATCAGACTACATTTTATCACCGGCAAAAAATGAAGAGGTAAATGTTTAAAACTGCAACGTTTATGAATGGTGAAGGTTTTGTAACTGTTACAAATCAATAAATGCATTTTGTCCTCATAGGCTCCCGTAGAAGGAAACATGGCGTCACCCAGAAACTTAGGGTGTTTCTCAATGTCAAGGCGCCTGGCCTTGCGAGGTGATGTCTTGTGAGGCCATGTGCCTAAGGACACTGTCCTTCCTTGGTTAAAGAAAACGGTTAAATGGAACAGACTTGTATCACGTGACTGCGGCTTCCACAGCGGTCACGTAACGTCACGTGACACGGGAGATAACTTTATATTTTACATGTATTAGTTTCAGCATAAATATATAAAGAGCCTTTTACTTTTTAAATTGTGTATATGTTTATTAAATTAAAAATATAAGTGAGTTACTACCCGCTAGCCACCAAAGTTGCAACTACTAAGCAACTAGCCAACAATAGATAACTTCTTTGGATCTAAAAAAAATGTTAAATTAGCTGACTTACTTTTAAACTTGAAAATTGTCCCCAAAGTAGCTGCCGGCTTCTGATCCGCTGTCCTTTTGAAAATACCGCGGTGTATTCTGGGTAATTTTTGACCAAGGCTAGGCTACAAGACACCTCCCGTGTGTCCTTGCTCAGCTAGCTAAACGGGTAACAAACGGAGAACACACGCCTTGGTAGAACATGAATATTGGAACCGATTAGAACACGTCTTGGCTGCTCCTGATGACGTATCTCCTAGGCAACCGGGCCAGGGCCAAGACATCAAGGCAAGGTTCCTTGACATCGAGAAACACCCTTAGACCCACTCCCATGTGTTTTAGAACCGATTTTTATTTTTCTGTTTTAAAGCCGACTATTTTTCAACAATTGCGCAACATTTAATTCGTTTTTAGATGTTAAGTACAACATTTCAATGGATATTTCCAGAGACGGTAAAAACTACACATTGTCTCTTTAAATGTAAAGAGTAATTTACATTGTTATATATTGTTATTTTAAAAGAAGATGTATCTAACTTACACAACTTGGTTAAGTAAATTCAACATTTCATTTTTAGAGAGTAGACTGTGTTAAATACAGATTAAACCACAGAAAAATTTAGACATTTATAACATGGACATTTTTCTCTAGTTTCAGCATAAAGATTACCAAATTGAACTAAACTTTAAGTTTTATTGGTTACCGTAAATCAATCAAAATCAATAATTTTGCCAATTAACAATTAGACCAATAAGGTTGTGTCAGTTTTCTTAGAACTTGTATTTTCCCCACTAATAACCACATTACGTGGCTTTTTAAACCTCAAATTTTCCTGGCAAACATGATTAACCTACAACTTTTAATAAGAGTTCAGCTCAAATTCTTATACAAAAGCTGATGTAGCTGAATGTAGAATTTTCCTGTGATCTACCAGACAAGATGCATGCTTGAGGGCTGAGTGACACCGCGAAGGCCTCCAGAGATGTGCTTGTCAAACTTTGTTTTGACTGCTGTCTTCCTTGACCGTAGGGCAAGATTTAAAGCAAGACACTACAACAAATATTGTTCCAAAGATTCCAACTTTACATGTGAGCCCACTTATCTGATTACAGTTTGAAAAAGTGAGAGTTCAGTAATGCGGTGAGATGAATCTTTGCGCAATGTTAATGGAGGCATGGAGCTATACAGACGTTACCCTGTAGACACACTCCTCATTAGGCTGTACTGTGCAGCCACCAGAGTACATTAGCTGGCTGAGAAAAGCTAAATTGATTTAAGAGTCTTTTGGCCCTACAGAACCTGATTTGCACTATAAAGGGTAAATGGAATTCTGAATTATGTATGATAAACGTGTAGACACATTAATGCCAAAATGCATGTAACCATAATGCATTTTCACCCAAAATTGATCAAAGCTGCAAATTCAAGGGAGAAGGTAAACCTACATTGATTCATCTTAGATTAAGGGAAAGAAAAATGAAATGAGGTTGAATTACAGCCTCAGCATCTAAAGTAATCCCACAGTTTACTCACCAGTGGGAACTCATGGGACACCCTCCAGTCAGGCGGAAGCTTTGCACCAAATCCCAGAGCGGGAAACATCTTATCACTGTCATAGTCCTGGATGATCTCTCCAACCGCCTTCAGAGCCATGGCATAGGCATTCATCTGATAAGGGTTCATGTAGTGTAGTGAAGTGGACTGTGATGGATTTCCTTTTGAGAAAAGAAGTCAGAGTCACTCATGCAAACCAGAGGACTGAGAGCAAACTGACAACTGCAAGATGAGAAACAGAGGATGGACAAAAACTAAACAGGCTGATCTGAATGAGACATGGAGCTCAACGGAGATATAAAATATACTAAGCTAAAATTATGCTTATTATTCTATTGAATAATTAGTATGATCATTGCTTTCAATTAAATGAGTTAAAACAAATGTCATTTCTCTTGGATCAATAAAGTATTTTTGAATTGGAATTGGAAAGAGTTATGCACTGCCAAATGATGATGGTTGAAATGAGATATGTCCAAACCTGTATCAGTAGTGAGCTTGGGCTCTACTGCTGGACATTTGTTTCAGTGATTTCAATTATGTTTTGAAGTTTAGGAGGGAATGTTATAAAAGAAAATAATATTTAATTTTATGTAGATAACCTTTTGAACAACCTCAGTTTGGAGACATAAAGTTTGATAACTGACCAGCTAACAGCTAGTTCACATGGAGTTTGGCTCAATTAAAACAACTCCAGTCTCCCAAAGTACATGTGAAACATTAAAGTGAGGGTCAAGGCCTGGGTGGAGATGTATTTCATCCACACTTCCTGTTAGGAAAATGCTTCTAAAAGAGGCGTCACCTGGCAGACCGAGAGAGCAGCACTGAGGCAGTGATAGACTATTTTTTCAAGGTGGCGAGCAGCTCAGAGCGCTAATGTGTCAAATCGGCAGGTGAGTGGCTGAGCCAGGTGGAGGTGCGGCTGCCTCACCTGGAGACCAGTGCTGTGCAGCCACCTAGTACTTTGCTGACAAAGTCACATTTTTCAGCTTTGCCATCAGCCACAGCAGGTTCTACATAAATGTGGAACAGAGTTTTAACCTGAAGATGGAGATATAATTATGGTTTTGGGCTGAAGTATTAAAATTTAAAGTAATTTGCACTAAACTGCCACATTAATGATTACACGTGTGTACAGCACCATTAGACACTCATCTATACAGGTTATCAGCAAAAAAAAAAGTTTATTTAGGCATTACTTGCTCTTTAATATTTAAACCTCAAAGCATCATTTTCATAAATGTATAGTTAATATGTTTTCCTAAATATTACAACAATCCAGTAAACCATGTCAAAGGCTACACTGGAAGTGTTATAGGTACCCACTGTTGCTAATTGTTGCTGCGTGAATTAGCTAATTTAGCTAATTTATGCCTAAAAAATATAAAAGACTTTAAAACCATATTTGTATGAAATCTTATGAACACTTAGACATTCGGGTTGTTTAAAAGTAGCAGTCATTCATTCGGAATGGCGATAGCTTATGATGAGACTTACAACTCAGTTTTTCTGAACTGAGGCTGTTCAACGTTTTCTACAGTAAGATGTTAACTGTTTTAAACATTTCCACAGAAACCCATCCAAAATGGTGGAAGAATAAATGTTATAATGGATTTAGTGCATGTTATGTATATGTCCCTTAAACAAATTCTGTTTAGAATGACTTTGGCTCTCTGCCCAGAATCAAATGCATCAGATTAGGTTTAACATTCAAACCCTTCAATAAAAATAAGTGACAGAAAGATAATAAGGGAGATAATCAGAAGCACGGAGAAAACTCATGACACAGTTCTACATCTGATGATGAATGAAAACACAGCGGGGTAACGGCAGTTGAAACACTCACCGTTTGATGCTGTGAAATCAATGGCCACTGTGAAGTGAATCTGAGTTCTGGAACAGATGAACAAGGGAAATGTTAGCAAAAGGCAGACAGGGAAAGCTCAACGCTGCAGTTTAATGAGGCTCTCGCAGGTTTACCGTACATACACCGTTTCTGTCATCTGAGGGGAGGTGTGACAAACGTACACCCAAACACACTGTTCATTATTCACCTTTATTATCTACTTTCACAGCTGCTTGTTCATGGCCATGGTCAATTATGCAACACAGGATCTTGTCAAGCTTTTAATAAAGTCAAATGCGATCCAAAGATTTTTTTTCACAACTTTAAAGGACGGTCGAAGAGAGTGCTTTTGCTAATAGGAGATCCTTCACCCAAACTGTTACAGCTCCAAAGCATCTGCAAATTAGAGGAAGTAAAAAATACACAAGCAGATGGAGGCACCTCGGCTAATTAGTGCAGTCCTGCAATCCTGGTGGATCATTGAGACGATTTATTCTTGTATTAGTCTGTTTGTTTTGGGAAACATTTTTCATAGTTTGTCTTAAAAGATTTAACAGCAGACTGGAGGGATTACAAACACATTACTTGATGTAAAAAACAATGAGTGACATTAAAAATTCACCCAGAGTTTCCACAAATGCATAATAAATTGTTGCAGCGAGCTTCAGGACTGCTCAATGAAATCAGTCCACTCTCACACCCACCTGTAGCCATTTCAGCCACTAAAACATGCTTCACTGTCTCTCTCATTCAACTTGTTGTAAGATACATAAAAGTAAAATTAAAAATTCAGGTGTTCTTCTCGCTCCATTAAAGCTGAAAATAAACCTTTGTTTTCTTTATCCATGAGAATAATAAACACCAGACCTTGAAAAGAAGCAAAACATGGCCTGTTGTCATAAAGAGACAAAAGAAGAGTTAACCCTCCCACTGTCCTATGGGTGTGACCCCACGAGGAAAGTTGACCATTGAGCAGGGTTGATGGTTTATCCCTTGAGGTCCACGTTGCAGAGGTGAGGAGTGAGCACCACCATCGTAAGTCTCATCAACTTGCGAGGTCACCCATAAAGACAGTGGGAGGGTTAAAGAAACAGGAGCTCAGATCAAAGTGTGAACCATTCAATTGTGATTAAGACTGATTGCCTCCTCCTGATTCCAGTTCTATTCAGATTTTCACAGCATCTGAGATAATGGCGCCTTCGTCCTGCGGAGACTGACCTCAGCTCATTAATCAGCATTGAGCTGCAGCGTTCAGCTGACAAAAGGAGAATTGTTGCGTTTGCATGCTGCCTCCGTTCGAAAGTTTCTGCTGATTTTCTGTTGTTAATTTGAAATGTTCTGGTAAGAAAAATCAAAGCTATGAAACAGAGTTGAAGCGTAAAACATAAAGACTGATATGGAGGGCAGAGCACATAATTACAACGTATGAGGGACAACCAGGGACTTTGATCTAAGTAACCTCACACTGACACGAACAAATCTCTCAAACACATGTGAAAACCTCTCTCTCACACACACACACACACACACAAATGTGAAAACCTCTCACACACATGAGAAAAGCTCATACACACACACACACACACACACACACACACATTCACACATGAAAACCTCACACACATGAGAAAAGCTCTCACACACACACATGTGAAAACATCTTGCACACGTGAAAACCTCTCATACACACACACACACGCACACACACACACACACACACACACACACACACACACACACACACACACACACACACACACACACACACACACACACACACACACACGTGAAAAGCTCTCACACACATGAGAAAAGCTCTCACACACACCCACACATGTGAAAACCTCTCAAACACACACATGTGAAAACATCTTGCACTCGTGAAAACCTCTTATACACGTGTAAAAACCTCTCATACACTCACATGAAAACACACATGTGAAAACCTCTCACACATGTGAAAACCACTCATACACACATGAAAACTCTCATACACATGTGTAAAAACCTCTCATACACTCATATGAAAACACACACGTGAAAACCTCTCACAGATGTGTAAACCACTCATACACAAATGTGTAAATCAGAGATTTTAGGGGATTAAAATGAGGTTTTGTTTTTACGTGTGTTCATGATATGTTTTCATGTGTGTAAGAGAGGTTTTAACTGTGTGTGTGAGAAGTTTTTACATATGTGTGTGAGAGGGTTTTTATGTGTATATATGAGAAGTTTCTCTGTCTGTGTGTTTGTGTGTGTGAGCGTGCATGCCTGTGTGTGTGTGTGTGTGTGTGTGTGTGTGTGTGTGTGTGTGTGTGTGTGTGTGTTGGTACGGGTGAACTATGAGGACATTTTACCTGAATACACACCACGCTAAAGGAACATTTTGGATTGTGAGGACAGGGTCGATGTCCTCACAATTCTCGAGCTAAAAAAATGATTGGAATGGGTTTAGGGTGTTCCCATCAGCTCAAATATGCAAAAAAAAAAAGGTGTCCCCATAATTCACTTTAACTTGACTTTTGTGTGTGTCGTGTGTATCGTCTAGCGCTCGCAGTGGTCATTATGGGTACTGCACCAGCTCATTAATATTCACACATTGTGTATCGTTAGAGGCTTTTGATTGGCTGACAGGTTAGGTCCCCAGAGTGATGAGTTTTTTCAGACTACGTGACATCAGAAAAACAGATTGACTGTCACTTTTTAAGATGTAAATCTTTTTTAATTGATTAACCCTTCACTTAAAGTGTAACATATTTCTAACTTGTTATTTGAAATTCCATTTTGCAAATAGAATGATGATGAATATTAATCCAGTCTCTAAAAGACCTGTATGAAAATGATCGGTGTCCTCATCTGACTGGAAATCCCCAACATAGATTTAAAACTTTAATGACTTCTAAATACAAGGTCAAAACAAAACCTAACTGACTTCATGTGATCATTTGTTGAAATCACTTTAGCTGAACCTCCTTAGAGAGTGATCTGATAAACCACATACATTATATTTGTCACCCTAAGAAAAGCTGAGTGGGATTATACTGGATTTTATAACAGTGCCTCCTAGATACATTAAAACTGTGATAACTTCTATAAACAATGTTAAAATTCAACCAAACTTGCTTTGTGTCATCACACAACAGCAGTTAAAACATTCACATGTTCATTTCTGTCGCAATTTTAGCACCTCCCCACTTAAATATGCTTTGCTCCAAATAACATACACAAAATTATTTTAATTAGAAACAAACTGCTAATAAATCTACTTTGTCAATTTAAATAAAATAAAGATCAATTCGATTTTAACTGGATAAATTGCATTTCTTACAGAGATACTGTTTGAATGCTGATTACAGCATGTTTTGGTTAAGGCACTGGGAAGCTGCAAGAAGAAAAATGTTAAGTGTCTGTGGACCCTAACTTCAAAGATATCAAGAACAAAAATCCTAGCCTGTCACATTTTGCGGGTGGAGATGGTGGACCATGTGTGGTGGTGGGTTCCGGAGGCAGAAGAGCAGGCACGGATAACGTAAAAACGAATTTAATTACTGAACGGGAACAGCAGGAACAAACACAAAGGTGACAACAAACGACAACAATGATCTGACACAGGACATACGAGACGGGAGGTATAAATACACTGGGGAAAATCAGGAACACCTGGGCATGTTAACAAGGGCAGGTGAAACCAATAAACAAGTAATCAGGGCAGGAGAGGAACACAGTCAGGAAGGCAGGGGCAGATCGTGACATAGCCGGCTTTTTCCTGAATGAACTGAATGCTTTGAAACCCATTAGCATAAATTGTGGGAGGAACTACAGCACAAAACATATGGGTGAGTCTTGAATTATTATCATTATCATTATCATTATTATTATTATTATTATTATTATTATAAACAGTGCCTCTTTTAATTTCCCTGATGCAATTTCAGATTATCACCTAATTTTATGTGCTTTGTGGATGACTAAGGAGCTTTGAAAGAAAAGCATCTGGACTTCTGTTGCTTGAAGACGTTTCACCTCTCATCCGAGAGGCTTTGTCAGTTCTAAGGACAAATGGTGGAGAGTCCCAGATTCAAACCCAGTGGGAGTTTCACCCCGAAAAGGGAACAAAAGACCCCCTGATGATCTTCTACAAAAACACATGAGCCAAGGTGAGAGGGTGGGTGTGGGTCCTATTTAGCCAGTTTCAGGTGAGCTCATTGTGAAGCCTGGCCCCACCCTATCATGTGAATTCCTGAGATCAGATGGCCCAGGATATGCGTGGGCGTTGAGGCATCTGGAAAGGGATCTCAAAACTGGATTATAGATGGCAGACAGTTGGTGTTGTAAACCACCGCCTCTGTTCAAAGATGGTTGCTCACAGTGGACATAAATGGCTTCCTTTACCCCTGTTTCAAACCATCTGTCCTCTCTGTCCAAAATGTGAACGTTGACATCCTCAAAAGAGTGACCTTTGTCCTTTAGATGCAAATGAACTGCTGAGTCCTGTCCCGTGGAGGTGGCTGTTCTATGTTGTGCCATGCACTTGTGAAGTGGCTGTTTGGTTTCTCCGATGTAGAGGTCTGGGCATTCCTTGCTGCACTGTACAGCATACACCACATTGTTCAGTTTGTGTTTAGGAGTTTTGTCTTTCGGGTGAACCAGTTTCTGTCTGAGTGTGTTGCTGGGTCTGACGTACACTGGTATGTTGTGTTTGGAGAAAACCCTCCTGAGTTTCTCTGATACACCGGCTACATAGGGGATGACAAGGTTGTTGCGTCTGTCTTTCTTATCCTCCCTCGCTGGTGTCTGGTCTTCTTTTCTGTGAATCTTTGCTGACTTTATAAACGCCCAATTAGGATAGCCACATGTTTTAAGTGATTTTTTTATATGTGTGTGTTCCTTCTTTTTCCCTTCCGGCTTAGAGGGAACACGTTCTGCCCGGTGGATGACTGTTCAACAGACATGATGAATTGATAATAATTGATAATGTTCCCCCTGAAACTGATTGGTGGACTCAGAGATCTTGAGATGAGGTTGGAGTGGTGTTTACGTGGTGGTA